TCTTCATTGTTGTCTAGGTTCTCTGGAATTGTGATTTGTAGGCTGGTTTTCTTTGCTTTATGTTTAAAAAACACTTATGCGTGAGTATATATGATAATTGTCTTTCTGGGTCCAGGTTACCTACTCAAAATAATGTTTACTAGCTCTATCCATTTGCCTGCAATTTTAAGATATCATTATTTTTTCTGCCATGTAGTACTCCATTGTGTAAATGTACCACATTTTCCTTATCCATTCCTCAGTCAAGAGAATTTATGTTGTTTCCAGGTTCTGGCTATGGCAAACAATGCTGCTATGAACATAGTTGAGCACAAGTCATTGTGGCACGATAGAGCATCCTTTAGATATATACCCAAAAGCAGTATTACTGGGTCTTGAGGAAGATTGTTTTTTAATTTTCTGAGAAATCACCATACTGATATCCAAAGGGCTGTACCAGTCTGCATTCCCACCAGCAAGGCAGGAGTGTTCCCTTTACCCCACAACCTCTCCAGCATAAGCCATCAGTGTTTTTGATCTTGGATCTCAGAGTTGTTTTTATTTGCATTTCTCTGATGAGTAAGGATGTTGAACATTTCCTTAACTGTCCTTCAGCCATTTTAGATTCCTTTGTTGAGAACTCTCTGTTCATGTCTGTACTCCATTTTTTTATTGAATTATTTGTTCTTTTGATGACCAATTTCTTGAGTTCTTTGTATATTTTGGAGATCAGACTTCTGTCTGTTGTAGGGTTAGTGAAGATCTTTTCTTATTCTGTAAGCTGTTGTTTTATCTGGTTGGCTGTGTCCTTTGCTTTACAGAAGCAAAAATATATAAACTTTTAAAGGTAACATACAAGTATAGACTGTGCATTGCCTATAAGTCAGTTAAAGATGATATTATATGTTTGAGCAGGTAAAATATATATCACATGTCTTGTTGTACTTTCAGGTTTGTTTTTTGTTTTTATTTTTTTGTAAGCAGGATTTTCAGCGGGTGTTCCTCAATCAAATCTAATTTTCTTTAACCTGGAATGAATCCACAGTCTCTCATTTCCTGCCCTAATAAAAGCATAACCTCCTCCCCAAAGTAGCACATCTTTTGACTTAAATTTGGAAGTCAAAATATTTTTAAAATATGTAAGTTGGTAGAATTTAGCAGTTTGAATTCTCCCGAGTCTCATAGCAGTAATAAAAAAGTTCAAAGGCAACCCATTAACATACAGGATCCAGACTCTCTTTCTATTTTCTGTCGTTATAGGCTTGTTATTTTTTTATTGCTCTATTGCTTTTAAAAGAAGTTTCTGTACCCTTTTCTTTCCTCTCCAAATTCTATGCATATTTTTAAACACACTGTAACACATTTAGAGGGTTTTTTTGTTGTTGTTGTTGTTGTTTTGGGTTTTTTTTGTTTTTTGGGTTTTTTTTTTTTGGTCTAAATCTGATTTTACTGCACGCCTGTAACCTTTTCTGTCTATATGACCTAAACCCTAAAGCCTCCATGTAGTGTGCTAACACTCACAGCTCAAACCAACAGGCAGGGGTTGGGAGAAGCCACTCTGCACTGGGACCCATGTGAGAAACTGCGAGAACCCACTGCTGCTTAGTTCACGGCAGCTGGCAGCTGTCTCTGTCTCTTGGGCAGCTGTTGAATGACACGTCTCTGCATTTCAGCTGGCCAGAGATTATGTGACTAGAAAGCTGCATCTGGTTCCATTTTTGTGCGTTTAGAACCTCTTTTGTTCAAGCCTTTTTAGGTCGTATGAGGATCTATGTACCATGTGGGCACCATTTGATGGCAGAGATTTTTATCCCGCAACTGTACTCAAATAATTACTTAGAGGTTTAATATTAATTATAACTGCTTGGCCAATGTCTCAGGCTTATTACTACCTAACTGTTACATTTAAAGTGACTCATATTTCTTACCTATGCTTTGCCATGTGACTCATGGCTTGTTAGTTCATTTTCTATATATCCTGATACCTCTGTGGTTCACTGGCATCTCTTGTAACTCCACCTTTCCTCTTCCCATAAATCTCTTAGGTTGATTGTCCCCCTCCCCTATAATTCCTGCCTGGTTACAAGACACTTAACATTTTATTAAATCAATCTAAGTGACAAATCTTGACAGCGTATAAAAGAATTATTTCACAAGTCAGTAGTTCTCTGTTTCTCTGTCTCTCTGTGTATGTTTCTCTCACATATATACACTTTTCTCTTTAATGAAAAAGGAATTCTTTTCATTTCTTTTCCAGATGTATCATTTTGTATGTTGACTTTTGAACTGTAACTTTACTAAATTTATTAATTGATACTAATCTGTGTCTATAATCTTTGGAATTATATACATATATTCATATATATATGTATATCTATATATCTGTATAGTTACTTTCAAAGTTTTACTTATTTCCATCCTCCCTCCTTTCCTCTTTTTCTTCATTCCTTCCCTCTAGTACAGTATAAAGAGAGAATGCTGAGACTGAACTCTCTCATTGTCCCTGATCTCAAAGGGAAAAGCTCTAAACTTGTTGTTCTTGAGAATGGTACTATGGCTTTCTTCTATGTGATCATTATTATACTAAAGTACAGTTCTTCTAGGCTAAATTTTGAGAGGTCTATTTTTATCATGAAAGCATGCTGAGTTTGTGCAATACCTTTTCTGCATCTGTTGGTGAGACATGACTTACATTTTCCCTTCTATTAATGTGATGCAGCCTATTTACCTATTTGCAAATATTGAAGCATTCTGTTTGCTTCACCAACGTAGGGTGACATGAAATGCCTGACATTTGTGGAAAAGTTGGCTTCCTCTCCATGAATTTTATGACCTCGGCTCAGAGACCAGACTAGTCAGCAGTTTAGGTTCCTTAGCCATGACTACAAAAAGCTGTTCTCCGCAGGTAGGAGTAGGTAGGTTTGGTTACCCATTGTGTGTGGGATCCTTGGTCTGTCAGTACTAGAGGGTATATACTCTAAAGTTAGGCAGGCTTCCAGCTTGGCAGTTGGCCTAGGTGAAGCCATAGGCTAGGCTCTGACCCAGATGGGATGACTTGCTATTTGGCTCCTTGGATGGGTGAAGCCAATGGTATAATCTATTGTGATGCAGAGTCAACAAATTCTCCTGGGTAGTAGGCTGACTCTGTGACCAGACTGGAATGCTGTCTAGGAAGGGCTGGTCTTCACTGCCCCATTCTTTGTTTCTCAGTGGTCTGCTGCTGAGTCATTCAGTGTTCTTCATTGGGCAAAACAGAAGGAGGCCTCCCACAGGCACCTGAGAGTTCTGGGGAGCTGTATGTTCTCATTTGGTTCTGATTAAACCTTAGGTCCAGGGCCATCACCTTGGTAAGGCCTGTTCCAGCCTGAGCAAGGGGCAATGCAGTCAAAGTGAGACTGCTTCTCTTGTCCTTTTGATGTGAGTTTGTGATCCATGGGTAAGGTTCAGCCTCATCCCCCAGTTATTGTGTGTGGGGGATAGTTAGTTGCAGGCTGGTCGTCCTGTGCTGGGGATTAAACTCATAGACATCCTGACATCAGCAAGATGTCTTTTTAACCTAAGTGCTGTCTGTCACCTCCTGACATCCCTGTTAAGACTGAAAACATCCAGTCATATAGTATTTAAGTTAGAGTAATAAACACCAACACCAAACTAACTTGGGGAAGAAAGGGATTTTTGTCTTGCACAACCACATCACAGTCCTTCATCAAAGAAGTCAGGGCAGGAACCTGGAGACAGAAATTGAAGCAGAAACTATGGAGTAACACTGCTTTCAGCTTGATCAGTTTGCTTTCTTATTTATACCAGGACCATCTGTCCAGGTGGCAATGCCCTCAGTGAACTGGGCCCTCCCACATCAATTACCAATCAAGAAAATTCCCCGTAGACTTGCTCACTGGCAATACAGATGTAGGCCTTCCTTTTTTAAATTAAGGTTCCTCTTTTCAAATAACTTTAGCTTTGTCTAGTTGACAAAAAATAAAAAACAAACACAATGTTAAAACCCAAGCAAGTAAGAACACAATATGTGTTTGTTATTCAAAATATCCACTTTTACTTGTACTAGGAGGAAAAAATATTCAGCCTTTATTGATCTGTTCATCTTTTTAAATTTACACTTTCATATTTTGACAGCTTTTTGAGTTGAATTTACTTGCTATAAAATTTACCCATTATAATATAAAATCCAGTGACATTTTACGGAGCCATGCAACCAGGACCACAGTTTAAGTTTGGAAGTTTGGACTAGGAATCCCCAGAAGAACCCCTCACAGCTGTGTACAGTCCGATCTTGGTCCCCTTAGTCCACGCAACCACACATACATCTGTCTCTATAGATTTCATTTCTGAGCATTTTATAGACATGGAATTATACATTATGTTTCCTTCTGTTTCTGGCTTCCTTTACTAAGAAAAAGATTTTTTGAGATTCATTCACTCATAGAATATATTAGCATTTTGTTCCTTTTATTGAGGAATAGTGTTTTATTGTATTAATTGTCCAGTTTTATTTTTCTACCCTCCAACTAATGGCCATTTCAAGTGTCTCTACCTTTTGGCTATCAATAATGCTACCAGAAATATTTGCATATAAATTAGTGAGAATATTCCTTTCGCCTGTATAAGAACACCTAGCAGTGGAATTTTTGAGTCATACTTAACATTATATTTCACTTTATTTTTCATCTGTATATGAATATGCAGTATACACGCATGCATACAAAAACATTCACATGCATGAGGGCTTATGTGTGCAGATGCACATGTATATGTATGCACACATGTATGGAAGTCAGAAGTTGATTCTGGAAGTGACAAGGCAGAGTATCTCTCACTTGAACCCAGAACTTGCCAAATTATTGGACTTGACTCAATGTATTTATTGGGGTTGACTCAAGACCACCCATCTTATGTATGTTAGTCCTTTACAGTCTTTCTTTCCTGTATAAAACCTCATATTTCACAAATATATAGACTGATGAACCTGATTATCATTTCTTCATGGTAATTTCCCCCTCCAGGATGTCCACAGACGACGAGACCACACAGAGGATTCCCTCCGCTCCTATATTCCAGTGCTTCAAACAAAATAAAGTGATGATTTCAAATGCAATAAAAAAGCCATTTCCTTTTCTTGAGATACTCCGTGACAACGATCTCATCACTGAAAAAATGTATGAAGTAAGTGAGATTTGTTATACCCTATCCTGGTAAACAGGCTCCAGATTAAGTTATACCTTGATATCTTGGAGCCAAATTTGGACTTAACTTAAAAGGTAAGATTTTATTTCTCATGTGAATGTACGTTTTTGTGCTTTTGCATGCTCATGCGCGTTTTTGTGCATGTTCACATGCGTACTGGTGTCTACGGAGTCTAGAAAAGAGCTCCAACTTCCCTGGAACGGGAGTTACATGTAGTTGTGAGCCATCTGATGTGGGTGCTGGGAATCCCCCTGGTCCTCTATTACAGTAACATGTCTTCTGAACCACTTAACCAACTCTCCAGCACCCGAACCTAATTTCTGACAAAAAATTATTGACAAAGTTTTCATAGCATTTTGTAGAGATATAAGCTACAATAATACATTCATCAATTATAAGTTAGAATTCTGGACTCAGGATTAAAACCTGCATATTCTGGGAGTGATGTATATCATGTAAATATTTCGAGAAGTCTTCTCTCCATGTATTAAGAGGAGAATAAGCAGAGGCCTCAGGAGATGGTGCTGCTTCTATCTGAGGAGCAGGTGTTCCATGGCCCTTTCTGGATGAGTATTGCTGAAGAAAAGCCAGCGCAGAACAGGGGTTCTCTATAGATGTGCAATGTCTCATGGATTTTAAACCATAGAGTTCATAGAATTCAAACTCAACAAAACTAAAATGATAAACAAGCTAAAAGTTAAAGTTGAATTATTTTATTGAACTGACTTAGTGAAATTTCCATGAGGACATTTTATTTTAATTAATATCTATTTTAAAAACCTAGATCTGAGGATATTACAAACTACAGAGTTTTTTATTCGGACAAATTTTTAAAAACTTTTTATTATTTTATATGTATGAGTGGTTTGTATACATGTATGTCTATGCACCACGGTGTCCCTGGTGCCCATGGAGGTCAGAAGAGAGGGCACCAGATCCTCTGTGACTGGAGTTACAGATGGTTGTGAACATCATCAGGGTGCTGGCAATGGAATCTGGGAACTCTGCAAGAGCAGCAAGTGTGCTTAACCCCTGGGCCTCTCTACAGCCCCTCCTGTTGGGTTTTTTTTTTAACCTTATGAATTTGCCTCCCTCCAGCAGAGTTCACAGTCAGAGGTAATGAACACATGATTTCCTGCAAGAGGGCAGGAGGTTGTGGGTGACAGAACAGCATTGGGCACCTACCCTCTTGGTTAACCTTTAAAAAAAAAGAATGCTTCTGTTTTTATTTTTATGCATACAAGTGTTTTTTTCTGACTCTATGTATGCATAAAACTTGTGGGCCTGGTGCCCATATTGTACAGAAATCAGCACCAGATCCCTAGGAACTGGAGTTAAGGTGTCCTTGCATTGCCGTGTGGATGCTGGGAACTGAATGAGGGTTCTCTGCAAGAGCAGAAAGTACTCTCGACCGTGAACCATCTTTCCAGCACCTCCACTCTAAAAATATTATTGCATATATTATTTATTTACTTATAAGTATGTGTGTGTTTCTATTATATGTGCACATGTGTATGAGCCTGCTGCTGTGCACTTGTGGGAGTCAGAGGACAGCCTGTGGCTAGTTGGTACTCCACTTTCACCATCTGAATCCCAGTGACTGAACTCAGACCATCAGGATTGGTGACCAGTGCCTGTAACCCGCTGGACCATCTCACCAGCCCCATTGCTAACCCTTAACCCAAGTTTCATTTTCCTACAAAAAGTGGCCCTTCTTACATGCCATAGAAATGAGGGTGGGAGCTCAAAGTCACTGGTGAGTATTTTGAAAGAGAAAATGTTTACTTGTTTCATGAAGTAGCCATGCAAATATAAAACTTTGCATGAGAAGATATGTCTCTTGGGGATTGAGGCACACTAACTATAATTTTTTTCCTAGAACTTTTTTATGACCTAAAGCCTGCACTTACACCTTCTCCTTTAAATTTTTTAAGGATTTTAAAGATTCCTGTGCAAACCTGGTTCCTGTACAAAACGTGGTCTACAGAGCCCTGGAAGAACTGGAGAAGAAATTTGACCTGAAAGTTCTACTGGTATTGTTCAGTCTTGGAAATCTGAATGAATACCCTGATTTGAAACCCATTTCAGAGTCCAAAGACTTTAAAAATGGTAATTTGGTTTATTATCCCCCTCTGAGATCCCAGTCATTAATTTATCAAGCATATATTAAATGTCTACCAGGTGTCATATAATGCAGCACGATTAGAAATATAGTAGTTAACAAAATTAATGCCCGTACATAATCATAACACTTATATCTAACAGCTAGAGGTGACATGCTCCCGAGGTCTGCTAGGCTGGCTATATAGACTGAGAAGACAATGAGAGCCCCACCAGCATCAGGCTATGAAGAAGAGGACAGGAGAACTCAGTCCCAGGAGGGTAGCACTGCGGTGTCTCTTCAGTGGAGCCCTTATAATATTATACACAAGAGTCCATCAGGTTCACTACCACCCACCTTGAGTGACAGCTCAGCTGTGGGTTGCAGGATCCATCTTAGCTTAGCACCACATGTTCATAGAAACCAACAATGTGTGAGCCAGTTCTTCAACTCCATCTTGCCCATCTTTAAAGCCTGCCCATCATGAAGTCTCCCTTTGGTATGTGCCAGATCCTAGACCTTCCATCCAGGAAAGTCCTTCTTTCTTCTTACAATTGTGGCAGCCTGGAAACCTATGTTTAGATTCTATTTTTTTCTACTTTGACATATACCTTCTCTGAACACTGGAATAGGAATACAGCACAAGTGTGTCTTCTACTTTTTTATTCCTGCTGACTTATTTATGTCTGCTTTCTGTGTGGGACGCATAAAGTCTCCCTTGTGGAGTCTTCTCTGTCCCAGGACATGATGGGTAAACTCTGTCGTGTGGGATCCATTGAACTTGATCAGAAGACTTGAAATTCCTAAATATGTAATGCAGAAAGGATGCCTTTTGTCCCTGCTAAAGATCTCTAATGACTTTCTCCTCTTCTTTCCTCTCCCTTCCATTTCAGTCTTACCACAATTGTGTTTTGGAGAAATTGATAGAGGGGACCCAAACTTGCAGCCAAGTCTTGAACAAGGTAATTACACTTGGAGTTTCTTATTGCTGCAGAGAATAGGAAATAAAGGAGATCCTTAGCTGAGTGTGACTTGGGGAAAAACAGAGAAGGCAGTGAGGGGAGTGGTTATAAGCCTGGTGTTAGCTTCATGCACTATGACATATTACCCAGGAGAAGCAGTATACTCTAAACTCTGGGGCAGGAGGATTGTGAGCTTGAGACCAGCCAATTGTACATAGCAAAACTCACTCAAAAACAAAATGGATACCAAGGAAGTCAATTTATTTGGGGTCATGATGTTAGGGACTTCAGCCCAAATGGTTTGACCTCATTTCTTAAGATAGGGCATAACATCAAAGCAAGGGCATGATGACCTGGAAGCAAGGGAAGAGAGGATGTACCTGTATCCTTCAAGGTTACACCTCTGGTGATCTAAGTTAGTACAGCTTGGCTCTGCCTGTTAAAGGTACCACCAAGACCTACTAGTGCCTTTCTGAGGGACAGACCTCTAATACATGAGTCTTATAAGGAGGGGTGCTTTAGATCCAAACTGACCAGCCTCTAGGAGGATGTAGGATCCTGCCAGCGTAACCATGACATCAAATCATCAGCCTGCTACCCATGATGAAGAAACCTGAACCCGATGTCAGTAGCCAGATTTAGAGAGACTGACTACTCAGAAATAACTGTGATTTAGAGAAGCCTCTGAAGAAGACGACCAGTACGGAACTGTGAAAGGTGAAGCGGTGTGGTCCATGGTGGCATCAAAGAGGAAATGCCCTGTAAGAGAGATGTTTCTGTTTTGTCCTGCCCTTGCATGCACTGGTCTCTGACACCAGATATGTGATGAGTGGGGTTTCCCACACCAACCAACACTTTAGACATCAGCAAGGTGTCTTATGATGTAATTATATTCAGATAAAGGGTTCAATGCCACAAGACAGCGGTCTATTACAGATGCTGGTTACAAATTCTGGGGTACGACCCATGCCTCTGGTCAACTGAACATATATCAGGGGTTGCTGTGGTGCCTCAGGCTACAGAACTTGTTAGCTCATGAACCTCAAGGAAACTATAGCTTACAATTGAGTAGAAAAGTTATAGCTCAAAAATAGCAACGGTGAGGGGAATTGGGGAGATGACTCCATTGTCAAAGTGCATACAAGCACAGGACTTACTCGTGTAAAGAAAAAACAGCTTAAGACACAGGGGCAGGTGCTATAACACCTAGTAACAAGGAGGCAGAGACAGGCAGCTTCCTTGAGATCACTGTTTATGAAAATTGTTGAGATTTAGTCCAATGAGAGACTCCATCTCTACAAAAAGAGGTCGATGTCACCTGAGGAATAACACCTGAGGTCGTCCTCTGCTCTCCACACACATATGCACATGAACAATGACCACATGGGAGAGGGACACCCCAAGGAATAAGGGGGAGAGAACACAACACTCTCTTGTCCTCCCTGGGCACACCACCCTTCCTGCTCTTTGGAGTTTGTCAACCCAAATCTCTCTAAAACAGAGACTCTTATGATTTTTAATGAAATTTTCATCACACAGCCATGATGGTTGGTATGATTAGCCATGTAATCAAGTCAACTTCTAGATCTTCTCACCTTGGAAGTCAACACTCCAATGCTGTCACGATATGTTGTTCCCCTGGCAACCAGCCTCCATTCCTAAGGGCTTTCCAAACTTTACTTCTTTAATGAGTACTGTGGTGTTACTGAGGAAGGCTGGCTATGCTCAAGGGTAGACTGGCTCTCTTTTTGCCTTAATCACTTGGAACTCAATTGAGATTTGAAGAGTTCTGGCCAGGAACAGGGGCTGAAGACCAAAACTATCATAAAAATATTCCAGAAGATATATATATATATATATATATATATATATATATATATATATATATGAAGATACACATCAAGAAAGTGGTAGAGTTATGGGGAAGGGCACAGGGATTCTCTGAGACAGAGACTAGAAGAGGGAAGGAAATGAGAGCAGAAAGAATAACAGAAAATGGCAGAAGGAACCTTGTTGCTAATTTCTTGCTTTTGTTGCATCTATATTTGATTACTGTCAACCCCAGCTGGTATCAAGGAATGATAGCATTTAGATGCCCAGTTTATAGGCGAGGAAGCTAAACTTGAGAGAGACTGTATGGGGAGTGTTCACAGGGTCAAATGAACAGCTAGAATCCAGACACTCAGGAGGTAGAGTCTGTGTTCTTGACCATGTACTGATAATCTGATGGAAAACATGCAAACAACGTGGGGGAAATAGAGAAAATACAGGAAAGAATTCAAAACTGGGAGGAAATGGAGGCAGGCTGCTACTGAGTCCTCATGAAAAGAACAGTAGGGACGAGCCATTAGATATATACAGAGAGGCCATTTGGTGAAAGGAAATGTGGTCCAGAGTCAGCTAGAAACTCAGGTAATGCCACTGGGCCAGGAAGTTCTGGGGACACATGCAGGCATCCTTTATGTATTGATATGAATGCAAGTCTCCATCCATGCTAGAGTGGCCCAGGCAGGACTTTACTAAGCCAGAGCTGACCCTCAAAACCTATTCTCATGGCCCAAGTCTGAACTCAGGAATCATGGGGACCTTGTCTGCTCCAGAGCACTTTATCTCTTGCATTATAAAGTCAAAAGAGGCTAACTCACTTCAACTCCTGAAATAAACATCTAATTTTTGTTTCTTGGGATCTTCTGGCAGCTACTCTCAAGAAAGCCTGATCCGGTCACCCTCAGGGACCTCCTCATCCGATGGTCTGTTCTCATTGATGCTATTAACATTGCTGTCTCATCCCATTCGTTCTAGATTCCTTTCTGTTGCTGTGATGAAAACCCATGGCCAAAAGCAATTTGGGGAGGAAAAAGTTTAGTTTAGTTTACAGTTTATAGTCCACCCTGAAGGGACATCAGGATAGGAACCTAAGGCAGGAACTGAAGCAGAGGTCATGGAGGAATGCTGCTTACTGGCTTCCTCAGCCTGCTTCTTATATATCTGAGAAACACCTATACTGGAGCAACACTCCACACAGTGGTCTGGGCTCTCACGTGACAATCATTAATCAAGAAAATGCCCCCACAAACTTGACTACAAGCCAATGGAGGATTTTTTCTCAATTGAGAGTCCTTCTTACTAGACCATCCTATCTTATTTTGTTGGCAAAACAAAACCACGCCACACAGCACACATGTGTGGTGCTCTTTCCTTGTGTTTCTGATGGCCACAACATTATCTACATCTATAGTTTCTCCAAGTTCAAGATTTAAATATCAGGGTGGGTGTTAGTTCTTGGGGTTGACTAGTCCCTTTAACAATTGATAAATTCAGAGAAAACACTCTTTATGTATCCTATTTTGTTGAGTCCAAAGTGTTGGACCTAATTCACTTTCTAGCCTAATTTTCATTATCAAAATAATCTTCTAATGTCTCTCAACCATATATACTTTACACCTCTTAGCGGAATTTTTTTCTGAATCTGTTAACAAGGAAATCCGTAACTATATCTATTTATATCTTGAACTTGTTCAGAGTCCAGAGAAGGAAATAGTATTAACAGAGTAAGCAGGAAGTACAAGCAAGTGGTTTCCAAAATATTTGTGAAATGACAGAAGCATCTGGCTACCTGGATAGTCATCAAATCTTCCTCTGTATTGTTGGGACATCCATCTTTGACATACAGGTCCAGAAAATATGACAAACTTATCTGTGAAACAGGATATTCTGAAGAACTGTCTTACCTTGTCTTTGCAAAGTTTAGCAGTTTTGTCTTTGTTTCCTATTTCTCCAGTTGGGACAGCATTCTATCATTAGTCCAGGCAAGGGCACTTTCTTGTCCAGTGATTAACTTTTATGACAAAGAAAATAAACTCTATATGAAGTTTCTTCAATTCCCATCATCATCTCTGAAGTGAATGGTGCTGCCAGGAGCAGAAATGATTCATTGTCAGAAAAAGAGAACTTATGTTATTAAAACATCTTAAATGCCATATTCTGTAAATCTCTAAAATGTTTGAAGATGACTTATCTACCTGAAATATATCTCTGTTTAACCTTGAAACATACCCAATATGACTACAAGTTTGATTTTAATAGATGACTACTAACCAACATTTCTTTATTATCCTAAATAATTCGTAATAATAACTTCTAAGAACTAGAAATTTGCATTACATTGCTAAATAAGTTGTATAGGTACAATACCATGAACAAGATTAGAAACACATGTATAGTATGTTCTAACAGAAAATATTAAAATTGTATCAATATATAATAATCCATATCAATGTAAACTATTTGACTATTAGTTTCTTTTTGCTTTAAAAGTAGATTCAATAATCTATCCTTATCCTGTTATATTTATATCCTTTTTTTTGTTTTCAAAGCAAGAACTCTGAATCTAATCTCCTTAGTTCAACTTTTTTCCTAACCATTGCCAATAATAACTTGTAATCAACCACACTAAATGATGACAAATATCCATAAGCCAATGAAAGACTAAGAAACCCACCTACCCCACCTCGGGAACGTAAGTGTCATGTTCTTAAGTTTACTTCATGTTGTCTGGTGACAATGGCATCTTTAGGGGCTCCTGAAAAGGAAAATTTGGATTGTCAAGTCCTGGGAAAGGTAGCTCTATCCTTTGTTATTCAGTCTCTGTATAATGAGAAAGTACAGGGCTTGTTTCAAGTCCTGGCTATAGCAGTCTGTTATGCTAGATCATCTCAGCTTTTTAACTTGAAATTGTTCTAAACAGTTTGTAGTCCAAAGCTGATCTTTAGGTGGTGTTTTCAGCTTAGTGGTGTTACCATAGTCCTGGTGGAATCGTCATTGTGGGGCCTATCCTCCTTTTGGAGACTTCAAAGGTGGCTGCTTGGCATGGTCTTAGATCTCTGCAGAAAATTTAAACATTTTAAATGTCATACGCAGCAGATCTCAAATAGTTTAAAGGACCATACATCCTTATGTTATGTACATAAGGTTATGTACATGGTCCTTTGTTATGTACATCCTGAGTATAAAAACATAATCCTTAGTTACCTGATAGAGACTCAAAACCAAAATCATGTACAGGAGGCTAGATGAAGCCTGTTTCTAGAATTAGTACTCTAATTGAACATTAATAACTTGATAAAAAAGTTTAATATATATATTAATCTTACAAATTTTGATATAATATTTATACCTTAAGAAAAGCTGTAGCTGGGTTGTGGTGGCACATACCTTTAATTCCAGAACTCGGGAAGGAGAGGCAGGCGGATCTCTGTGTATTCAAGGCCAGCCTGGTCTACAAGAGCTAGTTCCAGGACAAGCTCCAAAGTTACAGAGAAACTTTGTCTCAAAAAAGCAACAGAAGAAGAAGAAGAAGAAGAAGAAGAAGAAGAAGAAGAAGAAGAAG